AGCCTCTCTCCTACACAGCAGCATCCCCATCCCAGACCTTTCCTGTCTCCGACCGGGCGGGTGTCGGTAGGCGTCGGGCGGACATTCCTGTGGCTTTCATTGAATTCTAATTTGAACGAGCGGGAAGGAAAGGGGCTGACATGAGCAAAAGGCCTCACGGCGGTGCTCGGTCTTTGTAAGTACCGCACAGTTGAATTTCTTCCGTCGAAGGACATACTTAGGGGACTCGCTGTGGGACTCGGTATCAAACATATTGCGGTGAGTGAGTCATCACCGACCGTCGTCGAGCAAACGCACCGTTCAAATATTGGTCAATGGTCATGATCAAAGAGAGCGCTTTTCGAAACACGGGAATGAGGAGTGCCGCGGGGTGGGATGGATATCAGAGACCAATGTAGATGTGGTATAGATGTGGACCATGGGGACCAAAGAGAACAGACGCGCGAAAAATCCTTGTGGACCGACGTTTTCAACCAGTGCTCGACGTTCAACATCAGCCAAACCCATCACGATCAAATCACGGCATGGTATGATTCCCCGGCAACGGTGTCGGATCAAGCCAGCGATTCGTCAAAAGACCTGAGGAGGTTCACAAGTCTCGTCAGAATAATGACGCTGTGGCTGAAGCGAAGCCCGCGGCGGCCTGTCCTACCGACATCAGTTCGGCTGTTCAAACAGGTTCAAGGCCCAAAGCGGATCTCAAAGCAGCCCGCTTGCCTTTAGGAAACCGGCAAGACGTTCGCTATTACTAGTAGATCCGCGTTCCAAGGCAGGGTACGCACGAGTCGCGATTGGTTGGATTGATTAGAGCAAACTGCGTAGCTCCGTTCCGAATTCCCCCATCCAACACCATCCATTGACAAGGTTCTAGGTACAGTATGTAGATGATAGACCTGGGGCGCGAGCCAGAAGGCTTTGGTGCTTGGACTCAATCACTTCCGCCCACGAATAATATCCGCCGCTACAAAAAGATAGTATGAATGCCGACATCCAGGATGGAATCCAGACCCAGAACCAGAACACACCTTTCTCAGCAATCACATACGCCGTGGCTACCCATGAGAGGTTAGTCTCCGAGCGACACAGATCTCAACGCGTTGACGAATTGGGCTGGACTCACCATGTGTATGCGCGGCGATGTGCAGCGGGATGATGCTGATGTCCACAATACGGAGGTTGGTCGTCCCATAGACCTACAGGTGTTTGTTGAATAGGAGGAATCGGAGCCGGAGAGGAAGGGAGGAAGTACGGACCTTTAACTCGGGATCAACCACGCCTTGTTTTTCCTTGGGCAACATCGAGCAGCTACCAACCGTGTCTAATTCACGACGCGTCGTCAGCACATCGAGTCCGCTCCAGTCGAATACTCACGCCAAGTGGTCGTATGCGTGTTCTTGATATAGTCTGTACACCCGTCAGCGGAAGGAACGGACGGGCAGACAAAACGCACCCCGAATCGCCTCATCACTCGTACATCCCGGCCCCGGACACGTTTCAACAACGACACCAGATTTGAATGGCTCGGTCTGTGCGAGCTTGCGCGTGAATTTGAAATGCTGGACGAGATTCTCGAGGTCTGTAGTGGTTGTATCAGGAATAGAACCAAGAGTAGGAGTGATGAAAAAGAGCCCACCGAAGTCATTCTCGAAATAATGAGGGTCGATTTCCGGATTGTCGAATGGGTCGGTGGATTTGGCGTGCTGGACAGCTCTGTGAATAAACAAGAAGGAAGAAACCAGTAGGAACGAAAGACGTACAATCGTCCCACGCGAAAACGGATGGTTGAGCACAGAGAGCATCGTCACATACGTCTTGCCCGGCTCCGGTGCGGCTATTCAAGTTCAATTCAACAATCCCTCCCAGAATCCAGAATCCAGTGCAAACGACTCACTCAACGCAGTCATCAACCCAGGGAACCCAACCAGCTCCAAATCCGGCAACTTCTCATCCCGCAACGCAGCCATCTGCAGTTCGAATTGTTCTTTCAACCCCGGAACCTTGTCTTGCGGGAGACTCGCGGCGACACCGTCAATGAGACGCACCGCCTCTTGGGGGTTCGCGGAAGAGAGTGGAAAGTACGAGAAGCCTGTGATGCCTACGCCTTGTGGGCCGAGGCCTTGAGCGCTTTTGGGTTCTATTGAGCACATGGACAGGAGAGGCGGAGGGAGGAACATTGGACGCACTGCAACTTCCTCGCCTCCGCGGCATACTCTGGATCCCGCATCAAATCGTGTGTGGGCGGCGAGCCAGCGAGTTCGTACGACATGCCGATGAATCTGTTTGGTGGTCGCAACTAAGAATGAAAGAAGGAAGAGCAACGAAAAACGCACGAATGTTCCTGGACGTTCTCTCCCACACCCATCAACTCGAGCTTGGTCTCTACCCCGATCTTGGAGAGGACTTCAGGCCGGCCGATCCCTGACAATTCTAAGATTTGCGGATTCTTGACGGTTCTATGTCAGGCGCATCAGCGCGTGGGGCAGGGAAAACAATCAAGGAAGCCAGAAAGACAGACGCACCCAGCGCTAAGTATGACCTCCTTCCTCGCATTGACTCTTCTCTTTCCACCGTCCTTCAGCATGTACTCGACACCCCTCGCGGTCAACGGTGCGTCTCCCTCGGCGTCATCAAAGACAATACGCGCGACGGTGGCTTCGGTCAGCACCTATCCTCACTTCAATCAAACGAGCGCCGTTGAAAGACAAAGCGAGGAACCCACAGTCAAGTTCGGCCTGTCACGCACTGGCAAGAAGTACCCCGTCGTCGCATACGAGCGCGTCCAATCTTTGGGGTCGAGGTTCGCGTTGGCGATCCACGTGCCCGTAATCTACGTCGGGTCGTTAGTACTCAATATTCAGTATCCGATATCCACAGAGACAGACGTACATTGCCACCATACGGATCCTTCAACCTCTCAAACCCCAAATTCCCCATCGCTCCGAGGAACATGTCATCGATCGTATGATGGTGGAATGGGATTGTCGTTTGAATGGGTCCTGAGGACCCGCGAAGGGAGGCGTCCCATTCTTGTGGGACTGCGTCGAGGGAAGGGGAGGTCGGTGGGTGGAAGCTGCATGTCGAATTTGCGGTTAGGTAAGAGAGGAAGGAAGGAAGGCAAACGCACGTCTCGCTCCGTTTAGAGTACTTGATATACTCGGCCCAGTTCCATCCTGGATTTCCGAGTTTCTCGATGGCGTCGACGTCTTCGGCGGGGGGCTTTGTCCAAGCTGGGTTTGAATTAAATGTCAGAAGACCGGCAAGGACGGAATGTGAGGAGAAGTACCGTAAAAGTTTAGCGCCGACGAACCGCCTGTAAAGTGTGAGAAGAGCGCATCCGTCCGAGAAGAAGGGACGCACCGAGGCCCTTGCCGCGATTCCACACTAGCTCCCTGTCGTTGGAGAACTTTTGCTTGACTGTCGTAAACGCCCAGTCGAACTGCCACATTATTCTCATCGTGTTTCTGCAGAGTGAGGAGACGCACTTTGGGATTCATGAAACTGCCTCCAAATTGCCCCGGCACCAGGATTTCCGGTGCTCCGATGTTGGCTTCGCCGGCCTCGAGCACGACGACGGTGACGGCCTTATCTTCTGTGAGACGCGATGCCAGTGCCAGGCCCGCAGTCTACGCTCAACGTCAACGCTTGAAATTACGGGAGACCTGAGCTTACCCCGCCTCCGATGATGACAAAGTCAAACTCGCTATCGTCGATTGACGTAGAGCCCATGCTGTCCTATCCTATCCTTTCTGCGTGAGCGGGGATGTGTGGGTGCAATACTGGCCAGCCAGGCTATCTTATATGTACCGTTCAGTTGTCCGATGCCGGTCTAGTCCGGATATAGCGTTCCATTACGTGGTGAAATACTCACTGTCAGCTTCGGCGGGACAGTAGCCACATGAGGCCTTGACCCGCGGCGATCCGGATTAGAAGGTTGAGGGGATTGGCGGGAGCGAGTAGCTCTTTTAGAAGTTTGGTCGGGTCCTTGGGAGCCGGCATCGATGTGGAGCGATGGTGACACTTTAGCGTGCCAAGCAGAATTTTCACTTGAATTTGGCAGCACATTCTTGCAACGCGGGGATGCGAGGAGATGGAGTGACTGAGTCAGAGGACAAGCAGAAATGATCCGATACACGGAAGCAATTGCGGGTCACCATCACTGATGCCAGTGAGCGCTCTGGCCCAGACATCTCTCTTCCAGCAACCACTGACATGCCGCGCGACGAGGTCTGGGAGGACAACGACCCCGCCCTCCACTACATCGGCGAATGGCGTCGCGACTACGGCTCAATCTACCACGGCTGCTCCGTCATGCGCACCACGCGTATCGGTGACTCGATGACTGTCAAATTCCGTGGTGCGTCGGACATCCATGCTGCCACAGGCCAACTGACTACGACTCACACCTCATAGGCTGGGCGCACAAGGCTGGGACCATGGCAGCTTCCTCGTTCACCTCGACGGCGATGCGGTGCCGGTAGACGGTCAATACGACGCAATCCACGAAGGCGTGCCACAGGTCGTGCAGTTCTCGACACACGGGCTCAGTAGAGCCGAGCATAGGCTCACGATAACGAATGACGCGGCAGGGCAGTATGGGAGTGTGTTGGAGTGGATGCGGTCATGTGCGTCGACCATACTGGCATTCTGACTCCTGTTCCTGAATTGAGATGTCGCAGAATCACACCACATCCACCGAGGTGCTCGAACTTCTCGTCGGTGGTCCTCCTTCTTGCTCTTGGGTTCCTCTGTGGTGTAGGCTATACACGGCTAGCAGAAAGGATCAATGCATGACTTATACGACGGACTCACGGAACGCTGTGAAGGCCAAATGATGCCTGTTCTTACAATTCACGTCCACTGACTAGTGACCAACCACTGACGGATATGGGAATCTATTAGACCTGAGTAAGACCGAGAGTACCATTGGCTCACGGGTGGTTCTCCAGAAAGTCGATAACCGCATGGAGGCTGTGGCCCACTCAGGCCACATTTCACTGATCTCCGATGTGGTGTATCGGTAACATATCCACCTCTCATTGGTCTGCTCTCAGTATATGACGCGGTTGCGCGGGGTTCGATTCCCCGCATCGGAATGATCTTTTAGCGCTGCGGCTTTTGTTCGGTCACCTCAACACGTTAGCCCGCCAGACTGCTGCTCTCAGATACCCCGTTCAAATTTTGCTAAACACAGCGAACCTTCGAAAGGCAGCCCAGCTTCCGAGGCTCCCATTTATCCTCGTTCACGGCGCCCGGTTCGATTCCCCGCATCGGAATATGTTGTAGGAGACCCGGCTCCTCGGACAACGTGACCGTGTTCGAGTCCTAATCCAACTGCCTGAACATTCAACCTTTATTTTCTTATGTTCCATATTGCTAAAACCATGTGGACGAGTCTCCAACAGCACATGGAAACTGCTGGCTGACTCAGTCTGAGCACATGTACTTTTACTTGCCTTACCAATCCTAGATACGCAGCCTGTATAAATACCAGCCCTGCTTGTTGAATACAGTATCTGTTCTTCCTCTCACAAAAGAATAGATCGTGCATCATCGTGGCATTTTTGTGGCGACCACACTCTCCGACATCGTTGCCGCGTCAACGTGGTCGAAGCTAATCCGTTGCTTTGACATGTCATTTGACTGTAAGATATCGTGTATCTGATCTGGTCATGGAGGCAGTTGCATTGATTGCTTGGGGTTCAATTCTCCTCATCGAGGTTCAGAAAACTTTTGGTTCTCGTTCAAAAATTCGAACGACAATATACAGAGTTCAAGACTAGGTATCCATATGACCCATTCCCTTCACTTCCTCCCGCGAATGATATCAGCAGCTGCAACTCGTCAAACGCGTGCATGCCCAGCGAATACCGCACATACCTTTCTCCGCTATGACATAGACCGTCGCTGGAAAAGAGTAGCCGTTTCAGCAAAGTAAAACCAGTAAACCGAGACTGTGCACTCACTCTGCGTGTGCGCAGCAATATGCAACGGGACGACGCTCAGATCCACCACGCGCAGATTCGTGGTACCGTACACCTTGAGCTCGGGGTCGACGACGCCGTTCTTGGAGCGAGGAAGCATGGAGCAGCTGCCCAAGGCGTCTAGCCAGCAAGTCAGCAAGAAAGGGGGCTGAGTATTGGGAGGGAACGCACGCCAGGCCGTCCCGTGTAGGTTCTTGATGTACTCTATCATTCACACCCATGAAGATGAATAAACACCACCTAAGGATTGCGAGAGGGGAAACATACCGCGAATCTGCTCATCGGTAACACACTCTGCTCCCGGATCAGCCTCTTTGACGACGGCAGATTTGAACGGCTCCGTCTGCGCCAGCTTGCGGGTGTACTTGACGCCTTGGACGAGGAGCTCGAGGTCTGAGGGGAAAAAGTGAGTAAACCCAGCCGTCTCTGAATGTATAGGCCTGGCTGACCGAAATCATTCTCGAAATAATGAGGGTCGATCGCAGGATTTGCGGTTGGATCAGTGGATGTTGCGTGCTGTATAATTCAGCTCAGATGATGGAAGAGGGAAGCCACTTACGATAGTCCCGCGCGAAAACGGATGCTGAAGAATCAGAATCGCCGTCATGTACGTCTTTCCCTGCTCGGGAGCGGCTTGTACGAGCATTAGCCACTAATCAAATACAAGACCTAGCACTCACTTGCGCTATCAATGTATTACCTCGAATCAGCAAGCGCACCAAGAGGAGTCGGAAATTGATACGCACAAAGTCAAATGCCCGGGGAACAGAAGCAACTCAATATCAGGCAACCCGTCATCCTTCAACACGCTCATCTGAAGCTCCCACTGTTCCTTCAACCACTTGGGCACGCTCCCCGCTTGTTTCTGTTTTTCCAAATTGGCGTCAAGAGCGTCGATGAGCGCGGGCGCCTCGTGTGGGTTGACAGTTGACAACGGGAGGAACGAGAAGGATGAGAGACCGGCGCGTTGGGGACCCAGGCCTTGTTCGCTGCGGGTTCAATCGAGTTCATCAGCGGGGAGCGGAACAGGGAGAAGGCCTACTAGAGCTTTTTCGCCTCTGCCGCGTACGTCGGGTCGCGGAAGGAGTCCAGCGTAGGCGGGGAGCCGGCGATCTCGTATGAGACACCAATGAATCTGCACGTGAGTTTGTCAGCTTTGAAAGGAGAGATAGAGCTGGGAATACTTACGAATGTTCCTGTACATTTTCGCCTACACCAGGCAACTCGATCTTGGTCTCGACGCCGATGTTGGATAGGATTTCGGGGCGACCGATGCCTACGCCAGATTCATGAGCTTCGGGATGTTAATATTTGGAGTGCACGTGGACTCACCGGACAGTTCGAGGATCTGCGGACTCTTGATAGCGCTTCAAGGAAATCAACAAACGGGCAGCTCAGGTGAGCTCAACACACACCCGGCACAGAGTATAACCTCCCGCTTCGCATTGACCGTGCACTTCTTCCCGGCGTGCAGATACTCGACGCCAGAAGCGGTTAGCGGCTTCTCGCTGTGCTTCTCGTTGAAGAGGACCCGTGCAACGGTGGCTTCAGTGATGACCTACGACCCCTTAGTTCCATGCTCAAAGACGTAGCACCATGGAACGCACAGTCAAATTCGGCCTCTCTCGCGCAGGGAGGTAATAACCCGTCGTCGCATACGAACGCGTCCAATCTTTAGGATCGAGGTTGGCGTTGGCGAGCCACCTCCCTGTGATCTATTCAAATCCCCATGTCAGCCAGCAACTTGAAGCAAAATGAAGAGATACGAACGTTTCCGCCATAGGGATCCTCCACCCTCGGCACACCCAGGTTTTCCATCGTCCCTTGAAACAGGTCATCCAGAACATGGTGGTGAACTGGGATCGTCGTGTGGATGGGCCCGTCGGTGCCGCGGATTGAAGCGTCCCATGTTTGAGGCACTGCATCGGGTTGTGGCTCGGTGGGTGGGTGGAATCTGCGTGTTCGAAGAATGGATGAATGGTTAATTAAGAGAGGGTAAAGCCACAGACGTTTCGCTCTTCTTTGTGTACTTCAAAAACTCGACCCAATTCCACCCGGGGTTTCCAAGTTTCTCAAAAGCGTCGATGTCTGCGGCCGGGGGCTTTATCCACGCTGCTCTCGGATGAGAAACACTGATGGGCACGAATAAATGACAGGACGTACCGTAGAAGTTCAGCCCAGATGAGCCGCCCAGGCCCTTCCCCCGACTCCAGATCACCTCCCTATCGTTGGAGAACTTTTGCTTGACGGTGGTGAAAGCCCAATCAAACTAAATTGGTTCTCGTCAGCCAGCGCTTGTCGAAATATCAAGGATGCTACGGACCTTGGGATTCCCGAACGTCATGGCATACTGTGCGGGCATCATAATCTCCGGTTGTGCGATATTGGGTTCGCCAGCTTCGAGCACGATGACGGAGACGGACGGGTCTTCGGTGAGTCGGGACGCGAGCACCAAGCCCGCAGTCTGTCACCGATTAGGTGCGCAGAACAAGGGCAAAGAAAAGAAAAGACACACCCCGCCCCCAACAATCACGTAGTCAAACTCGCTTTGGTGGCTCATCTTGGGTGGCTGTTATGAGAAAGGGGAGGTAGACGTGAATTATATAGCTGTAGAGATAATAACCTCGTTGTCAACTGAGCGAGAGGGCCGAACACGTCTAGATCTCAGTCGGCCGTCCGGACTCGGGCGGCGGTCGCAACTCCATGGCATGTGAGTTTATGCTGGCCGAGCGATATAACCACTCAGCAGAAGACAAGAGCGATCCAAGCACCACGGAGTCGGCTGTCCCGCAGAAGCACCGTCGCATCTCCGCTATCCTGGCAGTCGACTGACTCGACTTCCGCTGGCCGCGGCGTCGTGCCATGACAAAGAGCAACTGAGCGCTGAATGACGAGCCATTTGAGAGAGGTCTTTCACAGACTGGACAAAGTCTTTCTCGATTCACGTCCGTGATGGCTCGGTGGTGGCACGATGTGGAAGGAGACAAAGGGAGGAATGATCCGAGACGCACATCCAATCAAGATCCTTATCAGGCGCACCCGATCACTGTGATGGCGCATCAGCGCCGAACGGATGTTTGTGATGGCTCCTCACTCAGCTAAATTATAGAAGGGCATTGGACCTTTGCTTCTTCCAAGTCCACAGTTACGACAGTACATTCTCAGTATCAAAAAAAAAAATCTGAATCAGAGTCCTATAGGCCCGTCTGTGTGCTCCATGTTGAACCTGGGATGAAATCAGTTCAATCAAGCCGATTTGAATCTGCAGATGCACCTCGTTGGATCGTACTTTGCGTACGTTGCCATGAGAAAAGGCAAATCTCCATACGTTTCAAACACGTCCTGACTCGTGTCGGATTCGCTGATGAATAACGGAAGTCCGTGACTCGGCGGTGTTCTGAAAATTCAACATCAACCGTCTGTGTGATACAAAGCCGAAAAACACGCACTCAGTAAGCATCAATTTGAACCCCTCATCGACGTCGTTGGGCCGGACAGCCTCTCCCGGTGCGTAGGTCAAGTCGAAATTAATGGACGCATACGGAACCCCCGGATTCCCCATCGCATTCGGCCCCGACAGACTCGCTTCCCACTGAGACACCGGGATTGGCGAAATAGTGAGTGAAGACGCCACAAGATGGGGTTCCGCGAAGGCCTCGGTGAACCTGAGAAACCGATTACACCCATTCAAAAACGTCTCTTCGTCCCCCAACCAGGACGAACTGCCGAATTGTTGCCCGTTTCCGCGCGCATTTCCAGGGACGAGTGACGTCAAATCAAAGTAACTCATTGGGGAGAAGCATTGGGAGGTGTTGGGGATCGACAGGAATTCGCCAAAGATGGGACGGGGTAGGCTTTCGCCCATGTAGAATACATATAATATAGTAGCGTCGGACGCGGAGATGTTGAGGGTATTGAGAGAGATCACGGCGCCTGGGCACAGTTCTCAATACGAGGAACCGATGGTGATCCGGGTACTTACTGGCTTTAGGGTCGACAACGTTCTTGATGTAATTGACTGTCGCTTTGAGGAGGGCTTGGTTTGCTGATCCTGGGTACTGAACAGGAATCCATCAGAGCTTTTGCCACAACCACTCATTCGAGACTCACAG